GCCTAGAAATATCGAGGTACGAGGTCTTTTCGCACAGATAACTTCTAATGATTTTGTTCGTGTAGCTGCCGTCTCGGGGATATAGAACGCCGGAGAACATGGAGTATTGAGACTTTCTAAGTCTCTCGATTGCTTCTTTCTGAAGGCAGTGCGCAGACTCCTATACCCAGTTTCGTTTATAAACAAAAATTTCGCCTGTTCTCTCCTTCTTTATCACTCTCATCATGGCTTTCAGCTTCGTTCGCACTATCATCAACCAATTTGCTCACTCTCATCGCTCCTCTGCGAGCACAGGTCCTTTTGGGCTTGTGCCGCAAGAGCTACTTGACCTTATCATTGGTTACCTCACCGACGACAAGGTCACCCTTTTATCGTGCGCACTCGTCCACCCTGCCTGGACGAGGATCAGCCGGTATCATCTGCCGCCTGTGACCCTCGTCGTATCCTCCCCTGCTCGTTCCAAGGAGCTGTGCAAAACATTGTGTTCGTCGCGGGAGACCCTATCCTCAGCTATCACTGGCATAACCCTCGTCGGCGACGTACCATTCTATGACTGCGCTATGAATGGCAAATCCTCCCGCTCACAGTCTTATCGCAAGCTGTTGCATGTTCTTAAAGCGAAGCATGTCGCGCTTCGCTCGGGCGCTGTGGAGAATGATCCATCACTCGTTAAAATCTTTGCCCACTATTTCCCCGCTCTTTCCGAGCTGAAAGTGACTTGCTCCTCCTACCAAGATATCACCAGCTTTATGCGCGCGCTTGCTGGTGCTTTCCCGCGCCTCACTGCTCTTACCATCGAGCTTGGATCTCGTGGTTTGGATATACCGGATGCATCACTATCTGGGTTGCACGATCTCGCATTGGGCATGCCGCGCCTATGCAGTTTGCGTGTGGTCGGGTGGAATAACGACCTCGTACACTGGTTGGGAGATAACATCGTGGGGACGCTGGAGCGATTAGACCTGGAGAGTACTAGCGTGTGGTCGGCATGCCGTGTCGAAGAGGCTATCTCGCTTCTCCAAAGTAATAAGGATACGTTGAAGGACTTGAAGTTAAGCTTTGTGAAACGCGATGGTCAGTATTTGCATTCTTCTCATTCACGAGATGCTCATCTGTTTATAGTGGCCTTTGATTTATCAGGCTTGACGCATCTGGAACATTTGGAGGTTACGAGTAATATGAGTGAAGCGCTGAATGGGCGGCTGCTGCCGCGGTCATTGGAGAAGTTATCTATACGAGACGCGGTTTGCGCGCTGGCTTCCTCTGGCATGGGAGGGAATGTCGATCTGGAGGAATGTATTCTTCTTGAAGGACCAGCTTTGCAGAGAGCAATGGGGTTATAAATGGACTACTTTTGTTATTTTATACCAATGATATTGATCCTTCTCCTTCATACTCGGTCGTGCTCTATTCGTTAATCCTGAAATAAGGATCAAACACGTCTATGCTTGCCCAGGTAGATAAATGTCTTGGTCCTTGGATTGACGAGTTGATTACCAAAACAGCGCGAAGACTTTCCAATCTTTACCACCATCACTGCCTTTTGCATCGCCGCCGCCGCCTCTTCGCTGCACAAACCATTCCGAGCCTTTGGACGCGATATGGACACCGTCACAGCGGCTCCTAGATGTGTACATGTATATCCTTGACAGTCGTTCCTACGTAGCCATGCCCTACAGCCCGCTGGCTTCAGCAAAACAGTGCACGAACGCACGGACATTGTCGGCACGTCGGACACCTGCGCCGCGATGATTCCAAGGCTGGTCTGCCATAGAGAGCTCTGACCTGATAACATGCGTGCGCCGCGAACAATGATTGGCTTACGGAGGGGAAGCTATATTGTGTGTCCAGTTATCAAGGTGCGTTGGAGGCGTTAATTATCTTACGCATGACACTCACACTAGACACAGATTACTTGTTGAATTGGGATGGGATATATCATACAACGTAACGCCTCTGCGAATCATGCACCATTCATGTATTCCACCTATTTGTACGGCCTTGTGCGCGCTAGAATTTTCCGACGATTCAATATCTCTTGGGCCGGTTCACGCTCAGCAAAGACCGCTGCGTTTTACATCCGTAGCCTTTACGAAGGATATGGGATAAATCTTGGATTACAACCAAGTTACGCTCTGATGATTTCTTGATCGCGATAGTGGGGCAGATAACACGTCGCGTGTAGGCTCCTCATTGTCTATGCGATACTGTTTCTTATGTGTTGGTTAGATGCCCCGCGTATGCCTCGCCAATCTACGGACAAACCACTGAGACACAATTAAAGAGGACACATGCAACTACAAGTTTGCTCAACTTCAATCATGGCATTGACTACTATACACCACCTCTTGAACAAGATGTTTCGTCATCGTAGCGGCCCTAGTAATGGTCTACTAGTCCTGTTGCCGCAGGACCTTGATCGCCTCGTCATTTTTTACTCGACGGCTTTTAAAAACAGCCTGCGCGCTTGTCCAACCTACATGGACTAAAATCCGCCTTCTCCCGGATCTGACACTCTTCATTGCGTGAAATTATTCCTCGTCCATCACCGGCAAACCGATATCAAGACGCGTCGATTGGATTCCGGGATTCACAAATCATCGAGCTTTGTTATTCACTTCGTACCAGTCGATGATAGTATCGGTACTTGATCCTAGGCCACGACTACCAACGCGATCTATCTTCAACGCCCTGGCACGACGTACGGCGTGGATTTCATGAGCTAGTATAATGCTTGGTACGTGAATTGTCATCCTCCGAAACACCATCTGATGTTCCTTCAGTTGTACTTGGTTGCCGCTCAGGATGCTTAATGCTGCTGATGACCTCACCAACCGACGCTGTTGAAATCGCGCACCCTGCGTGCAACTTCGGATCTCGAGCAGACGCGCTTGCTTTTTCGCAAAACGCAAGGGAGCTTGCCTTCTACTACAAACCAAAGCCGTCGCGCTCCTCCTCGATTTCTAACGACTATGGCTCAACCATATCGGACTTACGGAGCGACGTCCTGACGCAGAAGTAAAACATTGTTCGGAACGTCTCCAGGCATTTCGATCGTTGAACCAGCCTCGATTGTTGAATCGTACTGAGACTTGGAACTTGGCTGTGTCTCCCAATCAAGTTTGCCCTTCGAACACCCTTCATCCCAGTGGTCTGAAAATCTGATTGTGACACATTGCACAACGCGCCCGGGCATCTTCTACTATCCTTGGGTTCAAATGCTTCATCCCGGTATCCTGACGGAGAAATAAAAATGGGAGGCGCGCCTGGGATCATTGGTGGTAATGAGGTGTTTCTCCTCGATGAATTGTTTCTGAGTGTTCTTTTTTAGCTTCCATCTCGGGGATAGAGAACGCCGACGAACATGGATGATTGAGACGTTCATGTCTCTCAATGGCTTCTTCGATCTCATTCTGAAGGCAGTGCGCAGACCCCTATAGCCAGTTTCGTTTATAAACATAAATTTCGACTGCTCCCTCCTTCTTTCATCACTATCATCATGGCTTTCAGCATCATCCGCAACATCATCGCCAAGTTTGCTCACTCTCATCGCTCCTCTGCGAGCACAGGTCCTTTTGGGCTTGTACCGCAGGAGCTTCTCGACCTTGTCATTGGTTACCTCGCCGACGATAAAGTCGCCCTTTTATCGTGCGCACTCGTCCACCCTGCCTGGATCAGTATCAGCCGTTATCATCTTCCGCCTGTGACGCTCATCGTGTCATCCCCTTCTCGTTCCAAAGAGCTGATCAAACTGTTACGCTCATCGCGGGAGACGCTTTCCTCGTCTATCACTGGCATAACCCTCGTTGGCGACGTTCCGTTCGATGACGGCAAACCCGCCTATGCCCAGTCCTATCGCAAGTTGCTGCAGGTGCTTAAAGCGAAGCATGTCGCGCTTCGCTCGGGCGCTGTGGAGAACGATCCCTTTCTCGTTGGGCTCTTCGCTCAGCATTTCCCGTATCTCAGCGACCTCCAAGTGACCTGTGCATCATATCAGGATATTATGAGCTTCATACGCGCTCTTTCCGGCTCTTTCCCTCGGCTCACTGCGCTCGACATTGAGCTTGCATCTGGTGGTTTGGATTTGCCAGACGCATCATTGTCTGGGTTGCGCAGCCTTGCACTGGGCATGCCCCACCTACGCAGTTTGCGCGTGATCGGGTGGAACAACGACCTCGTACACTGGTTAGGAGATAATATTGTGGGGACATTGGAGCGGCTGGAGCTGGAGAGTACCAGCGCGTGGTCGACGTGCCATGTCGAGGAGGCTATTTCGCTTCTCCAACGGAACAAGGAAATGTTGAAGGAATTGAATCTGAGTTTTCCGAGACGTAATGGTTCGTTATTCTCTCCCTTTCTCTCATTGCAACATGCTGATGTACTTGCAGTGGCCTTCGATCTGTCAGGTCTGACGTGTTTGGAATATTTGGAGGTTGCGAATGCGTTGCATGGTTGGCTGCTTCCGCGGTCCTTGAAGACGATAGTGTTACGGGATGCGGTTAGCGTCTTCAAGCGTGTACAATTTATGGGCACTGGTGAGGGGAAGGACTTGAAAAGGGGCCATAGAACATATTAAGCTCTCAATGCCATGTCACTGTTTGACTTTTCTCTATAAGATTGAATCTCCTCTTCTTTGTGTTTTCGCCTGAGTACCAGTACATACCTTTTCTTTGCATTCATTCCCACCCGTCGGGATGTTAGACCACAGTCGCATTAGGGTAGGCCGGATGGTAGTCGCATACTACATGTGTACGCTATGCCTTTCCGTTCCAACACAAGGTACAACCATCCGCTCGTGTACGTGGTGGAATGTTGCAGTCAATCGTATAGTCTGCATCCTCTCCGTTACGGGGCCATGATTAGAGTATCATCTTTCAAAAAACAAATTGAACGGAATGAACCTTTTTGTCAACGGCTCAAACCAGTGTTTGTGAAAGCAAGCAGAATTATCCTATATTTGATAGAGTCATCTACAAGGTAAGTGACTTACGCCACACATCGCCCGCCTAGCTCAATCGGATAGAGCGTCAGACTCTTATATATCTGGGCGTATGGTGAAATCTGAAGGCTGCGAGTTCGACCCTCGCGGTGGGCTAGTTTTACGTCCCATTTCTGTTTTTTGTGACTGCCTTATCAGTAGTCAGGGTAGACTTTAGGTTTGAGAGTAGTTGGCTTTACCGAACCAACGGAGAATATCGGTCCCTACGTTCTCCGCAAAACAAAAAAAGAACAAGATATCCAGGAACGCGTGAGGATCCTACAGGAGAATCGGGACCGGAAGGCTGCTGCACTCGTGGCACGTCTGGCTCGACTCGGTAATCGGAACAAGCCGAAGACTGAGTAGTCTGTCGCTGGCACTACTTCCACCAAAAACGCCGTAACTGTCCCAAGGTATTCCTTCCTTCTTCAAGTCCTTATAGACTCTCTTTTCTGGACTTGTTCCCCGTTCTTCTAGTAATATCATGCCAAGTTATATACATATCTGAAGGGTATTTACATTGATTAATACAGCATACTAAGCGAAAAGTGGCTTCTGGAGAAAGTCACGTATGAAGTGCATGGAGATACAACCACGGGAACTAGGGAGAATACGAGGGAACCCATAACGAGCACCACGACGAGGGCAATTGTAAATGGAGGTACATACCTCATTCCAATACATACCTCATTCCAATACATACCTCATTCCAATATTATTCGCCGCACACACTTCTTGATCTCTCCCCAACGCTCGTCCTCGTGGGAATACAACCACAAGGGTACACATAAAATACTCAAAGGTCTACATTGCACGAAATCGGGGTTTCCACTGCTAGATGCGGTGTCCAACGCGCTCGGGAGCCTAGACTCCAGCATATCGAAGAGCGCCGATATATCATTTGGCGGAGTGACACACTTTGTAAAGTCAAGGACACGAAGATGGGGAAGGAGAGAATTCGTAGAGGAGTAGCGTAGCCCAGCAAGAAGGGATGCGTCTAGCGGATTATCTTCGAAGGCCAGGAAACGGAGTCGGGGAAGGAGAGAAAGAAACTCTAGCAGATTCTGGATATTATCAGGATGTCCGCGCATATTGGATCTGATGACCAATTTCATCAACGTATCCGTTGCAAACTTGTTCGGGTTGGGGAAAAGCAGGTGTCTTGGCATGCGGTAGTCGAGCCTGAGGTAATAGAGAGCCTCGAGCAGCAGAGCCTCCATGAATGCCTTTATGCATCCCGGTTCTGCTTCTCCATCTTCGGTAAGGTCAAGCTCGTAGAGTTGACGAAAGGGGATGACAGTGTTGGGGGGAATACAGGATTGGAGAATAATCACTTCAAGATGAACGATATTGGGAATATCGCGGAGTCTCTGAAGGCCAACATCGTCGTAGATTGGAAGCTTCCAGACCACAGTGAGCTGCGACCATGGTACAGCGACATACTTCATACTCTCCCAACGACGATCATGACATAACACCTCGCACAGCTGAGGTGCACTAACGGAGTTGAAGGTATCCACTTGCACCTTGTCGACATGGGATTTGCTGACCACAAGAGCAGTGAGCCGCGAGAAAACAGTCCCTGACAATGCTTGCAAACATCGGGTTGACGCTTCGGTTATGACAACGCATGTGCAACGCGACATGGCGCGCTGTAAGGCAGGCAGCACGGGATGATGGGCCGTTTGTCCCTTTATGTCGCGCAAAAATATCGTCAAGGAGAGATCTCTCGAGCGCTCGAGGTAGAGACAAGTCTTTTCTGTACAATTCTTTTTGCTGACCATTGCATGCGAAGCGGTGTCGAACTTGAAGTATGTCCATAAAAGCGGAGAGGAGATGACGAGCTCCCTCCAGATGTGACAGACACGCGCCAGAGTCCACGGTGCGAAACGAGGATCCAGCGAGTCAACGGTCACTGGTATGAAGTCTGCGTCCCTGGGTACACAGTAGGTGAAAATCTCGTGTAGGATCTCGTTGGGTAAAGAGCGAATGGGATGGATGAGAGATTTTGCGTCGGCTACATGAGATTCTGCTTGCTTTCGCGCAGCATGAAGGCTTTTAAGCACCTCCTTAACAGAGTCAATCCGCTGATCTATGTCCTGGATGATTCGAGGGAACTGTTCAACGACATTACGGAAGTCGGTGAGCTCTGCTTCGCATGGGGGATAATTGCTCCGGAGAAGGTGGTGAACTCGTGGAGTGCGCGGTATCTGTGCTGACTTGAGCGACTCTGAGAGCAAGGAACATGTACAAGTAGAGGGCAGAGGATTCCTGGCCATTGCGTCTGACTCCTTAATTAGCACACGCATCCAAAGAGTATAAACATAACTCACCCGTTGGATCCATGCCTGATGGGTGGGGTTTGAGACAGAATCTAGGTAGGCAGATCGTGGTGGTCTGTGGATGACCTTTGTTTGTGACTGTAGGGCCGTCAAAAGACAAACACGCGAGCACATGACCTCACACTGCCGGTCGGCGGGAGCGCAACAATAGGAGTCCTGTCAGACAATTCATAGTGACTATGAGTCCTCCTTTCCTGCTACCCCGAACATCCATATGCCACGTGTACTCCAAGAGCCTTGATCATTAATCACACATCTCATTGACACTAGCACGAAGCAAGTGGTAAATATGTCTTACCAGTCTTCCCTACTTGAACAAAATCCACATACGTCCTAGACTACACATATCGTACATACGTGCTGCATACAATTACTGTGTCTCCGGAATGAACAATTCCACATCCAACCCATCCTCCAGGAACGGCTCAATCATCGCCTGCCACTCAGCGGTAACCCGAGGACAGTGCAGCCTATCCACCGCAATCCCACAGTACTCCAACCCGCTCTCCATCCGCGCTTCCAAAAACTCCTGCACAGCCGCCATATGCTCTGGATGAATCGAAAAGCGAAAACACTTCAGCGCGGGGACGGGGAACCCACCGACTAAGCCTTTGCGCGACAAGAAATCTAGCGCCTGTGGAGAAATTCCTGGTGCCCGGTAATGCGAGTTGTCTTCCAGCTGGAGGTCGACGAGCAATGTCTGTGACGCGAGGATCTCCGTGATAAGATCGCGCACAGCGACGTTCCGCACAATGAGGGTCTTTAACATGCACCCCGAGCGCGCGAAAAACTCGACGTCGTTATCCCTCGGCCAGCTCAAGCCGAGCGCAAGGCTGGGATTGTAATCCAAGTGCGTGAGCGACGGGAGCGTGAGGTAATCCAAGACCTCCCGCCCTGGCAGATCGAAGGGTAATTCGAGACATAGTCGGCTGAGACGGTTGTGCAAGACGTTGGTCATGTGGAGGGGGTCGAGTATTACCTCGCGAATGGAGAGCCCCTCTAATGAAGGCGCGTTCTGAAGCATCTGGAGGAGGTCGGAGAGGCATATGCTTCCGACGACTGCTGTGCGCAAATCACTCAGCCGTCCAGCGTCGACGCATGATCCGAGTCTTAAAGGACCCCAGAGCTCGAGCGTCTTCAAGTGCACAATTTGGGAAAATAGGTGCCTGCTCCATGGGATGTATGACTCGGCCTTGTCACCCCGTTGACAGGAAACTACGAGCTCCAAAGCTTCGGGCATAGAAGCCTCTTTTAAGCTGACATGAGGGAGCCAGTCTTGGACACGAAACTTGAGGATGAGTCGGCGTGTGCGTGGGATGAGGTCTGCTGCTGTTTGGAATAGATGGATAGAATCCTCGGTGGTAAAGCCTTCTGCTGGACGCCCCGGATATGAGAAGAATAGTGTTTCGATGGGTAATTGTCCTGCACGCGTAATCTGCGAGCTGAGATATCGACGGTAATCATCTCGTCGGGCGGAGAAATTTACTGGAGTACAAATAGCGACTGTATTCCATAGACGCGGGGACGAGAGTGCAGTGGTACGCCATTTGCGACACACTTGGAGGAATATGTTCTGCGCGCGTTTGACGATGGATATTTGGTCCTCGAGGCGATCTGGACTGTCGGCCAAGTCCAGAGCCTCTTGAAGGCGCGAGTCAAAATATGAGAGGAGGATCTGGGCGAGTAATTCGGGAGGAAGGAGTTTAATGGGACTAAGTTCAATGGTCGGGACCAAAAGAATCTTTTGCAAGGATTCCGCGGGATCGTCAATTCGCGGTCGAACGCGTCGTTGCCAGTCATCCTCTTTGACAGGCAAATTCTCTTGGATGTGGTGCACAGTTATGCCCTCTGTAGTACAGGTCGTCGTGAATGCATCTTGAGTAGTAATCATACTATACAAGGATAAACGATCAGTCACTGAAAACGAGATTAGCTACCCACCTGAGAAAGTAGAACAGCTGGGGTAGTAGTAGTACCCCTGCTCTCAAATGCAGGAATTCCGAGCGTTTTTCTGGAGCACTGCTAGCCCAACGAGTGAGGGGGAGTGATAAGATCCATCCCGCCGCCGGCCTCCTGTTGATAGACTTACGTAATCCAGTCTCACCCAACACGTTCCGCGATCGACGCGCAAAATAACATATCGTTACAGTACGGAATAGGATGGACGTGAGCAGGTCCGAGTCGGGCCTCCCACTACCGCCAACCAAAGGCAAGCGTGGGCCGCTCTGTGTCTTAGCTATTCATCCAGCGTAAGCGGTTTCCAATATAGTATAACACAGTAACTATAAGGAAGTCGTGAAAGGATCTACATACATATTTCTCTGACGCTATCAGACAGTAAACATGATAACTGATGTATAGAGCTGTGACTATCTTCGTCACATTTCTCCTCTCCTCCTCCCATCATCATCCAGCCCTAACTCATCAATTTGAGCTTGGCGTTGGACAGGCCTTGTTGAGAATTGTAAGCACGTTTCTGTGGGCGATATCATGGTCAGTCATATGCATATCTAAACGGTATATTCTTGGAAACTACATATCAAGTTGAAGCAATAGATAATCCAGAATCCAGACTCTACGACTCCGACACATTCAAAGTGATTGCAGCCTCATCCTCGTCTTGACCTCCTTTTTCTTCTCACGCTCCTGATTCCTCAGCTCCCTCATCTCTACTGCTTGCTCGGGTGCCATGGTACCCACCCTCTTGGTTTCCCGCAACTTTTTCTGCGTTCGCCGCCGCTCCATGCGTTCATCACGCTCTTCCGGAGTCAGCCA